AGGAACAGCACTTTGTTCTTAGTTTCAATTCACATCCTCATTAGCTGCTGAAAAAAATCATTCATGGCATGTTGAAAACATCACAGAAAGTAGTAAACCCTTCTCAAATGAAAGCAACCACTGGTGGAAAGAGCACAGCATTATGGGAAGTAAATATTAATATTTGGGAATGGCAGGGTGCAATGCTACATTTTTATGGCTTCTGTTCCAAGTCTTCATGGTCATTTTTTATATCTCCTTTACAGTATCTGTTGGAAACTGAAATTATAACTTGCAACTTTCTCTCACTATGGTCTAAAAATGAAGATTTCCACTGAATGGTACTTAACCCTGAAATACATTAAATACAATCAGTACTACAACAACACCTTGGGCCTATCTCAAAGAGAAGAGATATCAAAAAACTACAGTAGAGAAAGAATGAGGTATTTACAAATACATTGTGATCAAAAGATTCCTACATCCACTGCATCTTTATGGAAATGCATGATCTACTAATTAGAGGCAGTTTCACACACAGAAATATTCTTACATAATCTGTCTGCAGAGTAAGATAATATTACATTGATGGAGAAGGAGGCCTTCCTATCTTTCACCTCATTTTAAACTAGAGTCAGGCTCGCTTCACATATACTTTTAGTTATAAGTGGTCATATCCACATGAGAGGATCCCACAGGGTTGTTATATGTACATACAATCAGTGAATCTTGCAACAGTAAGCACAAGGATGATTTCATGCATTTTGACCACCTAATCTTTACCTTTCCACCCACCAGTGTAGCCCATAGGTAAGACAAGCCCACACAACCAGATCCAGAAGCACCGCGGACACATAATCACAAGGAGGTGGTGCCCATGCAGCTGTGGATATAGGAAACAGAAAATCCTCCTGAAAAGGTTGCTCCTAATTGACTTTCATCTTAATTATTTAAGATCTACTTGGTTAGTAGATCAACTGTAAACTGCAGCTTAGTTGCTCTCCTTCTACCTTTTCCTTCTCCAAGGGGGCAGGTTTCCAGGGAGAGAGAAAATTCAGCTTCTGGGCTGTGGGATCCTCATTCCTGTTAGCACATGACAGGTATGGTTTCTTGACCTGGGGATAAAGCTAGATGGGATGACAGGCACTGTTCTTAACCTATGAAATGAGTCTGGATAGTCCAGAACTTCACTCTTTGGGGTGAAATTGCTGAGTTTAATGGAAATTTACACAGATGTGTAGGGCCTGGGATTTCAATGCAGTTGGATGAAAATGTGCAAGAACATGAGAAAATTTCAAAAAATGTCAGGTAGTTCTCCCTCAAACAGGAAAAAACTCAAACATTTAAAAATGACTCTCTAAAAAAGATTGTTAACCATGCCAAAAGTACAGTAAAATGTGAAGGGGAATAGGAATGTTTATATCTGCCCCTCCAACAGCTCAGCACTAGGAAGCATGAAAAACAGAAGCACAAGTTGCTTGCGTATTTACTTTTTGTCATAACTTACAAAATAACTCTGAGGCTAGTGAAGAGGTTATTATCTCAACAGCTCCTACAATAAGCTTGTGCACGAGCTTCTTGCCTTACTCAAGCTTAGAGAAGCCATTGGCAACAACTGCCCTGTGAGTCACATCCAGTAACTATTCTGGGCACTGAATCCGAACTTCTATTCACCCAAAAGAAAACTAAATAGAAATTTTGTATGTATATGCAATGTCAGAAAATGATTGAAAAATTAAAACTGAATGAACAACAGTATTTATGAAGGAAAGTTATAGATTTGCTTTCACTTTTTGCCCTTTAGCAAAATTATACATCAAAAGAATAACACATTTTTTCTGGTCATCAAAGTACTATGATGATAATTATGGAATAATAATTGGCTAATTAAAATGGATGAAGACTGTGACAGAGAACTTACCCTCACAGATGAACCTACTCCCCCAAAAGAAGTACAAGAAGGTCGCTATTTGTATTTAAGTACTTTCATTTTACCTTTAATGAGCATGGTGGGTAATAAAAAAAACATGGAATCCAGTTTACTAGGCAAATGGCTACATTTGCCTCTATTTATTAATGCAGTTCAGCTGCAAACTCATCTAATTCTAGAATTCTTTTTCAGAGTCAATGTGCTTTTAGGATGTTTATTATGAGTGTCAAAGTAGTAAAATGGGAAAGACCTTCCTGCAATTCCAGTTTAGATTGATCTGGAACAACACAGCACACTTAATTTTAAATGCATAGTGTTGTTAATTCTCTCTTTTAAGAGTCCAAAACGTACAACTCATTTAACTTTCATTAAGTTTGGTGTATTAAGTCCTACAAACTAATGGAAATAATATGGATTTATTTGATAATTAATGAAATTCCAGAAGGATTAAGTGTAATTCTCATCTACCCTCCCACAAGACTTTTTCCATTACTTTGACAAATCAGCAAACATAATTGGATGAGAAATTCAGAAAACTTTAAAGGAGAAACTACCAGGAAATAAAAATACTTCTGCTGGTTGTACCAGGTGGTACCTGGATTTCTTTCCACGAATTCGCCTTCATATGCACAGAAAAGAAAGAAGTGTGGCAATAAAAGTATTCCTCCTGCCTTCTGTGAGAATGGAGCAGGATTGTGAGGGAGGAAACATGAATGTATGTGAATGGAGAAGGAATGCATACATGCTGGGGCTTCAGTTGGCATAAAAAGCAACATCCCACAGACACATTCCTGAGTTAGATCACAGCTCCAAAATTACCCATGCTATTTTCCTATTTATTTGGCAACATGCTAGTTGAGCCAGCTCTATTATTTCAGCAAATATAGAGCCTAAGCAGAGGGAAAAAGCTCCTCTAGCACATGGATGCTAAACTCCATTCTGACAGCATTTTGCTAACTGAATGGTCTATACAAACTTTAAATGAATAAAACATATACTTTGAAGTCTGATGTGGTGGCCCTCAGAACCCTAGAAAGGAAACAACAATGCTGTACGAATGGGCTCTGTCATGCCTGCCACAGAAGGCTTGTTCCCAGGGCATCCAGGACTCTATAGAAATGTGACTTTTAGCACACGTACCATTGACCTGGTTCCTAAAGTGCTTTTTCCTCCTTTTTCCTATCTGGTTTTTGGAAAAACACAGGAAAAATTCCATATAACCAAGTTTTGGATGCCAGGATCCTTTAGCAAGTAATTAGATTTAGAGGAAGAACTATGGGATAGGATTCCTAAATAGCTGGGTGTTTTGACAGCTGAGATTTCTAGGAGGAATGCCTGTCTTTTCAGATTGAGGCAGGAGACATGCCTCTGAAATACTTTTTGAACAGAAGTTGGATTTGATTGGTATGAGTAACAGCACACAAACAATGATTTGCATGATTTGCACTCCAGAAGAAAAAACATAAAACCCCTGGGGCCAAAAAGCTTGTGCATCCCTGCCCCAGGACCAGAGTAATTCCCCAGTCACACATTGATCCTCTGGGACTTACTCCCCAAATACAGGCATTGACTGAAAGAGTGTTAGAGAGTTACTTGTCCCAAGCAAGCATGGTAACATTCCCCTCTTAGGTTCCCTCCCTGCCCCCATTTACTGTTTGGCAGTAACTTGTTTGCTATAGTGGCCAAGTCAGGAAACCAGGATTAGTGCTTGTCCTCAAAAATACAAGCCTGCAATTTATTTCCAATTCTCCAAATACAGCATAAAGAATCCTCTGAATGAGGCCATTGTGTCACCTCTGTTTCCAATAAACAATTCAGTCCAGTGGACTATGCAGACATTACTTTGAACTTGTGTGGAGAGGATCAAACATGCTTCTTTTGCATGCATTTAGAGAATTCTCTGAACAGCCTAGACAAAAAGTTCTATTACTTTTTGAGAGACAAAGAATTTAGAAACATAAGGTGATGCATCCAAGGTCAGACAGGAAGAGCAAAGAACAGAACTGTAGATAGATCTTAACTTTAAGCATCCCCTTTAATTGATTTGTAAAGCCAATTTGTTACCTAGTTTAATGTGAATTCTCTTCCCATAAGCTAAATATTGGAACAATTACAGGACTGCTCTCATTTCTCACTCCCATCAGAATTACTTGGTTACTTAAAATATACAAACATATTGCAAACCTGAAGAAGAGGGACACTCATTAGGAAAGAAACTGCTAAGGTAGGTAAGTTGGTTTTCCAGAACAACCTAGCTCAACATCTTCCTTTATAAATATCCCCATGGAAAGAGTCCAGGGATAGTTTGTACACAGCATTTTAATGAAGAAAATGCTGATGTCAATGAACCAAAGGAAAGGCAATTCCCTCCAAGGAGAAGCACTCTCATCAATACCATTTTATCCCCCAATGACTAATTAAATATAACTGATTTCAGATAGGGAATTTGTATGCAATAATACACCATTTCCACTTCCATTTAAAGTGAAAAGTTTGATTTCATAAACTCATGGTAAGAATCACTGTACTAGCTTGACAAGATAAAAGGACGATTAATAGCTACTTATGCTGATCCACATATAAAACAAATAATGACAAATTCAATCAGGCAGTTCCTATGAGGACAGATAGGTACATCCCTGAAGCCCTATGTTCAACATGACAATCTATTCTCCCTCCCTGAGCTACAACATCTGAGTTCTCCCTTTCTTCCTCTTTTCAAGTAGCATATTTGGTTAGAAACTCTCTAAAATCAACACCATCCCAATGTGTAAGCTAGGGGAAGAAAATGTGCATGCATGTCGAATGCTGTTGATGCCAGTGGGTTGTAATTTCCTGGAGTACCTGATGCCCACTAATGCGGTAAGGTTTCCCCACTAAGTCAGATTTGTTGATGGTTTTGACAGAAATCTGAGTGGGACAGGTAAGGGGAAAGATGCATCTCAGCTGCTTTCCCACCTCTGTGCTTGCAGAATGTGAGCCATGTATACACACCCCATACACAGCATAATGCTAGGCAAGGCAAAAACAGAATATTTATATTGCTCTCGCAACTCATTTCCCCCCTGGCATCAAACAAAATGTATCCTACCTCAATAGAAGCGACATGGAGTAAAGTCTCCCCCTTATGATTTCTCTTGGTTGATAGATTATTGGGGAATTTCTTGGTGAAAAGTGCAATTTCTTTGGCTTCTTTTTGAGCCAGATTAGTAGACGAAGTTGATATTTCTGTAGCTATTTGACTACTTGCATGTTGAAAGTCTTTAGAGTTTCTCAGTGTTGTTAAGATACTAGCAGTTGGTGTAAGTGAAGAGAGTTTTCCAAGAGAATTTCTGAGTGACTGCCTTGGGGACTCTTTCAGCAGTGATGCTCTCCTGGAGGTTCTTTGCTCTTTTGTCCTGGAGCGTTTAGCTAAAGATGCAGGAGATTCCATTTGTTGCCTGCCACGCTTTAGCACAGCCATTTCCCTTCCAGAGGGGAGACACTCCTCAGATGTCAAAGGTTCCTCAGCAACATCATGTGCATCAAACAAGTTATCATTGTTGGTCTTTTCCATGGATATTACAGATGCATCACCACCCATGCCAAAGTCATCCTCATGCTGTACAAACCCAACTGTGGACTGGTGCTCAAATGTACTTTTTGGATTAGGACTAGAGATCATCACTGTCTGACTGCAAAAGGACACCACAGATTCCTTGGCTTCACTTGGGTTACCCTCATTCTGGCCACCAACGTTCTCCTGCCTTCCTCTCAGCAAACCCCATTGTTGGTTGAGATCTGTTAAAGTCTTCTTCGTCAGCTGCTTCTTACATTTTGGCTGAGATTTTTTGACCTTTCTGCATGGCTCTTGAGGAGGAGTGGAGGAAATAAAGTCATATGCAGAAGCTGGGAGATGGGGCTGGCTATCCTTGTCCGACACCATCTGCTCTGGCTTCTCTGGCCTCTTCAAAGTAAATCTCATCTTCCTACTACGAGGACTGAACCACATTTTGATTTGTTTCTTAGTTCCTGCCTCATGATCTACTTCTCCTGGAGCAGACAGATTGTCCTGAGTACCTGGCATGGGAAAATGGATTGGAGTAGGTGAAGGAGATGATCAACAGTTATAATAATGTGCAAATCTGCTTATAACTAAAATCATCTGCAGTGCCAAAGTGGCAAAGTTATGCTTGAGTTGACCTGCTTCAGGCAGACGTGAAAAAATGCTCCCCACACCTGATGAAATATCAGCTGGCATGCTAATTGCTTCACCCACTCATTCATGTATAACATCAGTTCACATGGATGCCATTCATATGAGTGCTGAAGTATGCTCACCACCCCCTGCTCCATTTAGTTAATTATTTCTTGGTCTGCGAGGCATTCTTTGCCATTATATTTGAACCAGCAAGTTGTGATTTGCTCCTCCAAACTAAAGAGAGGAAGGAGAAATAGCTCAGTGGTGAAGAACTTTCTTCACCATTATGTCTGAATCCAAACATTGCCACTTTTGTTCCAAAAGGAATGCACAGTCTAAAGAGAGCCACATATCCATGAAAGTCTTGCGACTATATGCACAACTACAGGAAATGGTATTTTGAGAACCCAAGCAATGTGTACAAACTCTTCTCATATTGGCTGGAAAAAATAGACACACAGACACATTACGCTGAGAAAGGTTTTAGCTGCTTAACAACCTGGGAGCATGGACATGCAAATCAAACTGCAATACTTTAAAAAGTGTAGTCCTTTGAGAAAACATAGTTAAAATTACTTCTACTTCACTACATTAAAACCCCAGCTACAATTTTCTTTTCTGAAAATATAATGGATTTTTAACCCTTTCATGTAACTGGAGGGGCAGACTGAGTAAGAGTTCCAGCAAAGGAGGAAATAAAAATCTTTATGATCAACATACAAATGAAAATTTGCAGAGAAAGGTAATACAACACAGAACATCACAACTAGAGCTTTCCTGAGCTCCTTAATGAAACTGAATATATTAGAGTTAATGCAAGGCTCATTTTTCTCCAATTAGTATATTGCTTGAGAGGGGAAGTTGCACCAATGAGTTATTGCCTACTCAAAGAATAAAGTAGCCTCTGGTGACAATGAACAATTAATTTAGATATCAAAGTACTTCAGTGCTTGCCCATTAAAGTGCAAATCCTATTCAGCTTGCCTAGAGCCACAGGACACAACAAAAAGCAGTCCTGGAAACAAGACATTGTTCCATTACCAATAGGCCTTCTTTCCAAATAGGAACTTAGATCTAATTTTAGCATCTACAACAATAGCATCTACAAAGCTTGATTGCCAACAGATTGAGAAAGAAAACATTCTGCAGATGATATTTACCCTTGTCTCCTTTTCTGTTTACGTTTCAACAAGATTAATTGCACAATATTTACCTTGATATAAATATTCACATCCATGAATCAGAAGAGAGAAAAGCTAGCTCAGGGGTGAATATACCATGCTTTTCAGGTTAAAAACAGTTCAGCATTGCTTTTAATTGCCTGCAACATCATAAACATGGATTCAAATCCTTCAGCAAATGTTTGTACAAGTCAAAGAATATGAAAGACATCTTCAGTTTTTACTCATTTAAAAAAATGTTTTTAACTCCTGTTATGAATATAATGACTTATTTGTTTATTAAAAGCTTTTCTACCTCGTCTACCACTAGCATCTCAGAATGGCTTACAATAAAAGTTGTGTCTGCTGACAATGCAGACATCATGCTGCACTTTAAGTTTGGCACAATACCCACTGTGAGAAACTATAGTTTGCAGTTAGCTGACAAGCAGAATAAAAAATTACCAAATACTTTTTGGCCTGATATCTAAATTGACAAATTACACCAACAGGCACCCAAAGGATGCTGCAAGGTAGAGATGGAAGTGAGCTTATGGGGCTGAGAGGACAGAAAATATTTTGGTTTCATATCACATTATAAGCACCCTTGACTAGTCTTATCAAGAGAAAAGTGGGACATAAAATTAAATAACAAAAGGAAAAACTATATGACCATACCTAAACCATGGTTTATTGTTTGTTTATTTGTGTAATTTCTGTAGGTTTGCCTAGCTTGGTATTGTGCCTGGTTTGAGGCTTCTCCACTGGGATGAACAGCAGAATAATAAAAGTTAATGCTAAAATAAGAGATTCCATGGTTCAAGGGATGTAGCTGATGTATGATTGTTTGCTGGTTACACTTTAACCCTGTAATATCCTCCTGCTCAGTGCAGATATGCACAACCCCCTTTGTATTTTTTCATTGTTACCATTTTTATTACTTAGGCCATCTTTAAGTTGAAAGATAAAATATCATATAGCTGCATACACATGCATGCTCATACATATTGTGTGTGTGTGTCTACTTCTGCCATTCTGATACTACAAATGGGACCTGCACTGTTCAAATGCAGAGCACTCCTGTTCAGGGTTCCAGTCCAACAGGCATACTGCCTTGCAGGATATTCCATTCAATTTCCTTTCTTGGTTGTCTGTTTCTCCCACCCCAGGTCAGTCAAAAATTCTTAGATCGCTAAGAAAATTCAGTAAAGATTTTTTGCAGAGCTTATTTCGGCAAATGTTGGGAACTCCCCAAGGCCACTGATATATCCTTCTTGTGAGCTGACAGTGTACTTTTGGCTACACAGGGAAGCTTTTCCACACTAGCAAAATGATACTGCTGCTAGTATACAAATTCCATTTCTCATAAGATCAAGATAATTACACATTCATTCATCAAAAGAATGGAAAAGTGTTCTTTTTTGATTCCAGAATATCCCTCCACACCCTTCCTTCATTGTGCAGATCAGATAAATTTGATTTGAGCTCAATCCTTGGGCATCTGGCTGGTTATGCATTTCAGTACATTTAGTAAATACTTGAAGGCAATTATATTAATATCCCTAGACATTGTTGAAAGGGTCATGGGATAGCTCATACTTCAGCACCAAGGTTGGAAACACAGAAACAGAGCGACTCTGAAGGGGTCTACTGCGCCATCTAGTCTGATCCGGGCTCTAGCTGGCTCCATTCATAACATGCCTGCCATGCTCATGTCCAGCCTAATCTTGAACGCCCACACCAAAGGGGCTTCAACCACCTCCCATGGATGCCATTCCATACCCTCGGGGTCCTAACTGTCAGGAAGTGCTTCCTGGCATCCAAATGTAACCTTGGTTCCTTGAGTCTGGCTCCGTTGAAGCGCATCCTGCCCTCCTCTGCAGGGGAGAACAGGTCTCTACCCACATCCATGTGACATCCCCTCACATACCTGTATGTTGCCAACACATCCCCTCTGAGTCTCCTCTTCTCCAGGCTGTAGAGACCCAGTTCCCTCAGTCTCGCCTCATACGGCTTCCCCTGTGAACCGGCCATGAACCTTGTGGTCCTTCACTACACTGACTCTAACCTGGCTATATCCTTCTTGTAATGAGGGGTCCAAAACTGAATACAATACTCCAGTTGTGGGCGCACCAGAGTCATATAGAGTGGCAGTAATACCTCTCCCAATCTAGAAGCCACACTTCTGGCTATGCAACCAAGGGTGGTATTCATCTCTTGACCACAGCATCATACTGCTGACTCATGTTTAGCATGCAGTTGATCAATCCCCTGAGGTCCCTTTCACAAGTGCTGCTCTCCAGCCACTTGTCCCCTAACTTGTACTTGTGACACCCATTCCCATGCCCCAAGTGCAAGACCTTATCCACATTGAATGCCATCTTGTTGACTTCTGCCCACTTCCTTCTGGATCTGGAGTACCTGCTCCTCAGTTGTGGCCACTGCCCCAGTTTTAGTATCGTCTGGAAATTTCATCAGCAGAATGACCTCTTCCAGGTCATTGATGAAAAGACTGAACATGATCCATCCCAAGACCAAGCCCTGGGGGACTCCACTGGTCACTGGCCACCATCCTGATGATTCGCCACTTGTCCCCCCAGCTTTCAATCTGTCAACCATGCACCAATCCATTGGACAGAGCATCAGTCTATCCCAAAACTCCTCAGTTTCTCCACCAGGATATCATGGGGCACTTTGTCAAAGGCCTTGCTGAAATCCAGGTAA